GGGGGGGGGGGGGGATGAAACACAAAAATGCCAACTATGGCATGAAATAGAAAAATAAGCTTAAGTTGTTTTTTTGCAAGTTGTTGCACACATGTTGCAAACTAAGACAAGCAAAATCTTAACTGTGATTTATAAAATTTAGATGTTAACCTCAAACCTTTAAAGGCAAATCCCCTTCCCTAGTTAGGGATTTAAAAAGTATTTCAAGTTGTAATGGATAGTTTAAAAGTTGTAGTGAATATTGTTGAAAAAGTGATTAAACTTATAGCAAAATAAAGATAAAAGAACCGTTAATTACGCTCCGGGGAAACTAACTTCTGAGAGTAAAATTCAACAAAAAATATTTGGAACAAAGATTGAAAAAGATGGTGGAAGAGAATGAAGGGTTTGAAGAATGTAAAAAATTTAAATCAAAAACGGTATAAAATCTTTCCAGAGTAAAAAGAGCAAGAAATAAAACAAGAAAGCAAACCCCCCCCCCCCCCCCCAAGATCTAACACTGGCCCTAATAAGATGGAGTACGTGGAATAAAGCAGGATGATATAGGAAGGATATAAACCCCTATATATATATATATTCCTATATTCCCCTCAATACACACACAAAGGAAATCTAATTCTAGGTAGGAAGGAAAAAGAAAGGCCAATTTCCAGCCATGCTGCCCTAGTAATAAATCATTTCATGCCTCACACATTAAACTTTGTTTACATGCAGTAAAATCGTTCATGAACAATACATATTTCAAGACCTATGCTTTTTAAAATAACCCCCCACCCCCTGAAAACAAATCCAGCGCCAATGACACGATGTCAAAGAAACAATGGTTTATTGTTATCTAGATAATCCAAGGCAGGTTGCTGAATACCAACTAGATACCGACTAGGGGGGGGGGGCTGTAAGTAAATCCCCCAACTAAACCCTTTTGGTTTGCAAGCTAGAGAAGAATGGTTCTGGGAGAATTCCTCTATTTGAATTCCCTAGGGGATGAAGGGGAAGGGGGATTAGGGAAAAGGAGGATAAGGGATAAGTACGAGTAGAAATACCCCCCCCCCCCCTTAAAATGAGCAAGTACAATTTAAAAGGTTGGAGGGGAGGGGGTCCACAAGGAATAGAAGTTGAAGGAGCAGGTTTGGGAGTAGAGAAAAAGGAAAAAATATGTCTTTTCAAGGAAACTTTTAATGAAAGGAATTTCTGGGATGGAATGGTTGGTGCTTAAATCCAATTGGATCACGTGATCTCTCTCTCTTCTATCCAAATATATTTCTAAAAAAGATATGGACTAATATATTTTCCTAGCAATTGTATGTTTTAGTAAACAATTTGTCGTTCAAAGCATGAAAAAAAGTGATAAAATGATAAATAGTTTAACCTTACATAAATGGAGTTTACCAGCCCCCCTATCTCAAGTATTCTAAAAGCTTGGGACAAAAACCTCTGTCAAAACACTGGCCAAAAACATAAACTTAACGGTAACAGATCAAACACTAAGAATATCAGTTTATAATGATACAGTAAGAAAAAAATGAGTTTAGAAGAAATGACAAATTGTTTCTCAACAATAAACCCCATTTAATTGAACAATTTCGTTGAAAACAAATTTTGCAAAGCTTAACGAACCTTGGTTTCTTCGAGCGACAAGAAGGGGGGGGGGGCATTTGACCCTGAGTTAAAATATTTCATCATAAAGTGAGAATATATGGATTTCTGAATAAATTGATTGGACTTGGTTGTGATAATCTACCATAGTGTGGGGGGGGGGGGGTCGTTAAATCTTCAAATATTATTTAAAAATAAACCCCTTTCATTGCTAACAGAAAAAATCCAAACTGACGTACCCTAGGCTAAAGGCTAGGTAAGTAGATTTTAAAACAAAAAGATGCACTTCACCTGGTGAAACTTTATATTGTTTTAAAAATCAATTCTATTTGCCTTCAGAAAATTTGGAATTGAGTCAATTCTACAAATTCCGATTTTCTTTTTCCTATATCTAAGTTTGAAACATAAAAGGTTCATCAACCGGTTGAAAATATAAATGGATTATAAATTTTGCATGTGTGGTAAACACTAAATTCTTTTGATATGAACAAGTAATCATAGATCCCCCCCCCCAAGATGGAAAAAGGGGAGGGTGTGGGTGGTTTAAGACAGTAAGGAGCTAATGACAGTTCTCGTATTTGAATTTAGAATGCTCTACTCAGGACTCTGGTCCAAAATATTCTATCCTATTCACTTAACATTCTCAAACTCTCTTTATCTCATAATAATCTCCTTGTAACAATACGTATATAATATATAACAATACCCATATACGTCAAAACAATGGTGTCGTTTGGGTAGAAAATTTTTGATGTTAAAAACGTGAAACTGATTTCATTATTTCAGAATATAATATTCAAAAGGTCTAACTACCCCTTGTAAACATTAGAGAAAGTGAAGAGCAAAAGAAAATTTGGATTTATGGTCGCAATTATTGACAAACGTGCGTACCTTGGCACTACACAATTAGTCAAATTCTTATTCAATCCCATCCACTCCCTTTGCACATCTTACTCGAAATGTAATTTTTTTATTAAAAGACCTTCTTACCTGGGTAAGAACACCTTCAAGTTTACCCCCCTCATGTTCAAAAAAATATTAAATCAAACCTAAAGAATTTTTATTTTAATTCCCAAGGTTTCTAAATTTCAATCTCCCCCCCCCCTGGCCATTGCTTTAAACCACAAAGCCCCGAGATCTTGAGCTAAAAATTCCTCTACAAATATGATCAAGGAGGAGGTTAATTTAAAGTTTAATTAAAATTTCTAGATAATATTTACACTGGGAAAGATCCCCGCATATTGTCATTTTAGAGAGAAATTAAGAACAGTCAGATAGACAGACAGACAGACAGACTGACAGACAAAAAAGTTTTCCTTTACCAGAATATTATCGATTAAAATGCTAAAAAAAACCCGGAAACATTATCTGAATTACTAGATAATAAATTAGATTCCCTCCCACATCCATTCTAACAAAAATTAATAAATTGTCATCATGACTTTCAACCTAAAGCATAAATCATTCATTACAGATTCATCATGAAAAAAACTATCAATAAAAAGTGGCTTAAAAAAATTAAGAAGACACCCCCCCTCCCTGAAGTGGCTTAAAAAATTGAGAAGACATCACCCTGAAGAAATAAATCCTTTTAATTTGAATTTTAAGAATAAAAGCAATAAAAATGTAGTTAATTTTTACTTTATATTTACTTTTAAGGAATATCTAATAGGGGGCACCAAATTTTTCCCCCACCGCACCTGACTTTCAGGGTTATAAAATCTAAATTCCTACTCCCCCCTACCCCCTCTCCCACAAAACAAAAACTCCCATGGGTTATCGTGTTGCTAAGTATTCCACATAGCGCATAATGAAGGGAAAGCATTGCGTAGCTTCATGTATAATGAAGAATGTGTGTGGGGGGGGGGGGGGGTGCACAAAGAAAGGGTTTCTTCAGAAAAAAATAATGACTATCTGAGTATTGACTTGTGTTGTCCAGTAACAAACAACATAGCTTTACATTTATCTTTTAATATTATATTTCCCTTTCTCTAGATTCTATATTTTTACGATTAGAAATAAAGTCTGTTATTCTTTCGATAAAAGAATGTTGCGAGAAGAGTTCATCAGAATTTTTTTTAAAAGACTAGAAATAAACTTTTCTGTTCTTTGTTCTCTTCATTCCTAGAACCTTAACAAGAGAGAAAGGGAAGGGGATTATAAATTCTAGGATTAAAAGAATATTTTTTTTTAACATTTGGTATAATATATCTTATTCATACCTTTACAAAGAAGTAAGAGACATATCTAAAACATTCTTTATTTATTCATTCAAAAGAAATTGATTCAACCATTTCTAAATGTGCCCAACGAGTAAAACCCAGCACGGAAAAGGAAAGAACTGAAAAATAAAAATAAAAAGAAAAAATGAATTGTGTACAAAACCCTGATCTGATAAACTTTATCAGAAGATTAAATTTCTTAGGTTTAGTTCGGTATGAGGTTTCTCCAAAAGGAAGGAGGGAAGTTAAAAAGAAAATATGTGACAATGTTGACCTTAAAAGGAGGAAGGGAGGGGGGAGGGGTGTTTCCTTCAAAAGTTAAACGTTATTTTCCCCCAAGTTTGCTTGAAATAACTCTAAATAGTTTTTTGAGAAGTGATGGGGGGGGGGATTTTTAAGATAAATATAATACCCTACTCTAATCTAACGACGAACGTAAACTGTATGTACTATAGTGTATACCCGAGGCATCTCTAAATACATTGTAAAGTCTTTCAACTGAGAATAATAATAGAATAATAATTAAACTTAGAATTAAAACAGAAAACAGACAAACTGACAGAAGAACAATGTTTTAAAGAAGCTCCTTCAAGCCTAGGCTTTGCTAATTAAAATGCAAAAATTTCAGGGTTATTGCAAACCAAACAATGGTTTATGAGAGGTTAGATCCTTCAGATTGTATTTAACTAGAGTACAGATATACACCATACTACACTGATCTTCATTAATACAGATAGTTTTACAGAAATACACTTTACAGAACACTTTTATTAAAATGTTATTTTAAAAAACTGACAGTAATTCAGAAAAATTGGAATATGAAAGAAAAATTGTGAAATTAATATGAGCTGGGCCTAAACACATTAATTATCTTCTGAAAATATATTAATGACTAATGACGATGATCTGAATAAACAAGATGTTTCTACAGATTTGTAAATTTATTAAAATATTGACTGATAGAAAAGTAGATTAAGATTGTTGGATTAACGAGTGGACAGATGACATTGAAACTAGATAAGAAATCAACAGAACG